AATCATCTCTTATCTTTCCCCACCAAAGACCAACTTCGCACGCTTTCATATACTATACACTTTCTTACAGGGTATTTGCATTTACGTGCACGCTCATTATTTTCTTTGATCATCTTGTATATTATGCAAAAGAGCTAGAACATTAAGAAACGCCCACATTATCCAAGGGTGGTGCTAAATATTTTTGCTCCACATATCGTCACACCGTTCTCGTTCTCCGAGAATGTGTGTTTGCCGAAGAAGAACATCGCGCGTCTAATGCTGGCGGGAAATGATGGAAGCAGATGGAAGTATGTTGCCGGAGTGAGTTTCGAATTCAAAGCTCGGCGTCGTCACGTGCGATTCAATCAAGCGAGGCACATTTGCAAACTCCTCTACATTTCCCCGAGGTCTGCATGCACAAGCGATGAGTTGTGATTTTCCACTCGAGCTACCTGCGATGCACAGCGCGCGCGGCAATATTGAATTACTTCTGCTTCGCTAAAGTGATACACTTTTATTGTTTGTTTTCTCTCAATACACAACTCAAATAAAATAAAAATGCCATTTAATAATGGAAAATATTTGTTTTGGAGTTTCATTTTCAATATTGTCTTATTTCAATTAACTGCGTTGCGTTCTATTATAGCTCAGCATCAATTGAAATTTCATTAAATTTCCTCTACTACTATAAAAAAAATGTGCCGATCATTGTGTAAATGAATTACAATGGAAATTCAATAACTTTTCAATTTATCGCTGACCATTTTCAAAGAAAAAGAGTCTGATAATCAGGACGAAATTGGAAAATCCCAAAATTACCGTTAAATTCGGAAGGAGAAAAATGTCAAAAAATATTCCAGTTATTTGCCCAAGAAAAAATCTACTACTTTTACCACCTTAAACAATGTAATGAGAATATTAAAATTAACAGAGAGTAGTGCAGTTGAGCATTTGTATTCATGTATGCGTGAAATGTAATGTCCGCTGAAATTTATGCCGCGCACTTTCACTAAATCCATGCAGATAAAGTAAAGTGTGTGCATATCGCAATAATCCCATCAAGCGAAACATCCGAATGGGGCTAGGAGGGTTCTTGGCTTTCTGTCGTCATCACTATTCATGGCCCTCGAATGCGGCGGGAGCCATTTAGGTGTCAGGTGAAGAGTAAATACGTAGGTCGTCGGGTGTTTTGCCGAGTCTAGGCCTTATGCAAATTGTCCGAGGCATGCAAGCATACATACACATAGCTGCATGGGCAAAGTTTCAAAATGCTTGCAGCTAAAGCAGCTTAAATTGTAAATGTCTGCGCTTACGGGCTGAGGCGAATAAAACCGACCTGCTTGCACCACCGACCAACTTCGTACACAAACCGGCAAGCAGATGTGCTCTCTGCAGAAACTAACTCTCTTTCTCGCTCGCCTACTCCAGCATCCGGCAAATAGAACAAAAGGGCGCTAGAGAGAGAGAATCGGCTCCTTTCGCCCAAGTTGGCACGCTCAAATTTGATTATTTCGCTGGTTGATAATTAAGACGGCCGCGCGCACCACTGCAGCTCAAGTGCGAAACAAACTCTGTGAAATGAAACCCGAGTAAAAGCAGAACCTGCAATTAAACTTTATATAATTATCATGAAATTCAGTTGAAGTTCAACTTTTCATTAAATAACGCAGATAACTATTTAAATTATTGCCAAATTTTATTTTACCTTATGTATTCATAATTCCAGCTTTAGTATATTCCAGACTATGTTTTTTGGGTTGGAAATATTGCGTATTATATGCACTGGCTGGTTGCTACCGGTTTATTATTGGCGATGTTTAGTATCACTAAGGCAATAAATATATTATAATTATATTATATTATTTATATTATTATTATTAATTATTGGTGGGCGTTTTTCCTACAGCTGATTGTCTGCTTCCTTTTACTTTTATTGTCGAGTTAGTGTTTTTGTGTTTTGCGCTCTCTCAAAATTTGTTTCAATTTTGTTTCGGTGAGTTTTTGTGTGTTTTTCTTGGTGTTTAATAATAAATTATTGGCAATTCTTTCCATTCACAATCCACGTAAATGGTTAAATATGGCTGTTGAAACAGAAAAAGACTGGAAATTGAATTGAATAATTTTTATTGACTTTCCAGTGTTAAAATTTAGCAACGGAAACATTGAAAATCATCATTATAACATCAACATGTACGCAAATACTCCATTTTTGCCATGTCAGCACCTCCGCCTGCATTTGTTTGTATTTTAAAAAAGCAACCGATTTGTTTTCATTTTTCACGGCAGGAGGACCCCGGAGCACTTGAAGCTCTTCCGCCGAGCTTTTCTTTTGTGTGCCTCTGCCGATGTACTGCAGACTCGGAGAGTAATTAAAATTACGAGAGGTGCGTGGGGCGAAAGGTGCAGGCAGGGGTGCAGACTTTTGTTGTATATCCTCGCTTTTTATTTATATTTCGGTGCTCGCAGTGCTTTGTTGAGCAAAGTTTTCCCTCGCACGTATATATTTCTATGAAATTATGAATCAAAAGCAGAGTGCTAAGTAAGTGGAATGTATTATAGGCTCGGCGGAGGGTGCCGTGAGCTCTTTGTCCGACTCCTCTTCTCATTAAGGGGATATTCGGGAAAGCGCCGCACATGACTCATTTTCGATTCTCTGTGTGACTGACTTTGTTAGTTGGCCTCTTTGACTGCCGATTGAAACCACTTTCTCCATGTATCACATTATTGATGTTCCGCTGAAAGTCAATGCCAAGTTGTTGACGCTGTTTGGTGACAGGAATTTACTCATAGAAGACTCTAAAGTGCTTTCGTGACTGAAATTAGACTTTGCTTAAGCTAACATTGACCTTTGGGATGATTCTTTTGGAAGCCATGGGAATCGGCAGCAATGATTTTGCTTTAAATTAATATTTAATCCATGGTTTATATATTATTAATTAAATATTAAATTTTATTGTGCTGAAAATTAAAAGTTACACATTTCATGCCAGTTTTTATTTCTTTGATTTTACTCCTCCATTTTAACTTGTAAAGATTAAAAACGCTATAATTTTGAGGTAGATTCTTGATGTAAAATTATCTTTCATGCTTACCAGGCAAAATCGATGGTATGTATTTCGAGACTCCTTTAAACATATCGTGGCGGATGAATCTCTGGAAGAAAAACCAACTTTCTGCGTGCGAAGTTGAAATAAGTTTGGGTGCGAGAAAAGTCAAACAGCTTTGCGCCTTCCTTGCAAAACTATTCCCTCAGATCTCTCAGAGCTGTCTCTTGCTTGTGAGATATCTCGTCGTCGGATTAGGATTTCCGTTCTAATTAGCTTCTCGCGGCCATTCCTGAAACTTTTCCAATTTAAATCCGTCGAAAGGCGTCGGTGGCAAATCACGTTCACCTTTGACGACTCGAAAAAATCAATAATTACAATCCGTTAATGAAGTCGAGTGAATCGCAGAAGCTTGTGCAAACCGTCTTCTCTCTGGTGCGAAAACGAGGGAAAAACGACGCAGTGGCACTTTGGGAATTCTGGCAAGAGCGCTCTCCTTTCTTCGTTCTCTCTTATACATTACGCCGGCACAGAATAGACGGAGAACACGGCAATGGAAAATTGAAAGTCGTCGAGCGTGAAATGCCTTTATTGTTTTCAACTCCTTTGGTGAACACAAGAGTAAATTAATTTGATTATAGATGAATGGGAACAGAGAGAAAGCGGAGTTTGCCGCTGCTTTTCATCGTTGGCAATAATTGGGCTGCGCGTTTATGGAATTTTTGATATTTTCTTAATTTGCATTTCATTGAAAGTATTTATTATGAAATTCCTGGTTCATTAAATATTTTCTTTTGATTTTATGGTACGTTGAAGTTTTGATGATTAATTTGAAGATCAGAGTTTAATGAAAGAGTCGATGGCTGAATAGAAGGATAAACTTAAATTATTGTCAATACATTGTCTGTTTACTGTTTTCTTTAAGATGCTGATGCTAAATTAAAAATTATGATATAAAAAAATCAATATGTACCAAAAATTAATAAATATTATGTAAAAAACAATAATAATATTATTAACTAACCTTTTGAAACAACGTAATTTGCAAGATCAATTCAATTTAAATTTAAATTAATTTTAATTTAAAAACAGTTTTTAATGCCAATAATATCAGAATAATATAAACATAAAAAATTAACCATTTGTAATTAAAATATTGTATTAAAACTAAATAATAACAAAAATGTTTAAAATCATAATTCTGGCGTTGATAAAACGCGTTTTTTGCACTCTGCTTGATGAAATCGACACGCAGGCAGCGCGTTGACAGTTTGCTTGCTGTGTACATTTGCGAAACACAGTGACGTCCGTTGAAAAAGCGGCGCTTTTCTTCTCTTGCGAGAGCGTCGAGAAAGAAAAATGATCCTTTGCAGCTGAAAATGAAAATAATGCTTATTGAAAAGCGAGCGACGAGCGCCGTGAAAATAAAACGAAAAATTTTCTCGTCGGAGCTTTTTTTTATTCCGTTTCGATCTTTTCGCCAACAATTTACATAAAAATTGAAGCAGCCAAAGTTAGTTGGAATTAAAAATTCATGAATTTCCAACTGGCGCGTGTGTCCAGCAGCGTTCACGCTGATTTTCGACCATTATTATTACATGCATAAAGCGGCATAAAGTATAAAACGGCTCTTTTGTTGTTTAAAATTATGCGCCTCTGTCGGGCGGGTGTGTGCTGAATTTGCAAGTCAGATGGACGTGCAGACGCCCATATAAACGCTCAGCCACTAATAATTAGGCCGGACGAAGCGTTGCCGCCGTTGCGAAATCTTTTCGCCCGTCATAAATAATAATTCTGCCCGGCGCTGCGCCGCGAGATTTTTATGACAAATGATAAATCCGACGGGCAAAAACGGGCGCCAAGATGGCCGCCTGGGGGTTTTTATTTTTTGGTTCCGCATCGTGATCGATTCTTTCTTGTCTGCCTCTGTATGTACTGCCTTGTTGAGTAAGTGCGATGTTTCTTTTGTTGCAGTGCCGCCTGACAAGTTGATCATCTTGGACGAGAAAGGTGCCAGCGTCCCTAATTACGTGGTCGGGCCTTACAACGAAGGCGCCTCCGTCGACATCACATGCATCGCCACTGGGGGTAAGTCCAATGTTTACATATATCCAGAGATAGTATCAAAATGTAAAGGCAAAAATTTCAATTTTTTAATATTTATTTTTCAATAAAATTAAATTCAACTTTCAAGGTAAGGCTGGCTACTTAATGATTTTATTTTTTAGAATTTATCCCATATTTGATTTCTGACGATTTTTACTTTTCATGAGAAAACATCAAATCATTATTGAATAATTTAATTGGATCCCAACGAACTTGGAACAGATCGATAAAAAAAAGAGCTAAAAAAGACATGAAACAAAGAAAACGTAAATTTTAGAATGAAATTAAAGGAAGAAATAATTAAAAAAAATTAACCGATTTATACATTGCTAGACTTGATTGGGTGTCTTAAGTATTTGCATTTAAAAAGGCACCTAAGTTTGTAAAACAATGTATTATTTAACCCAACTTATAAGAATGAAATTTCTATAAAAAGCACGCGTTCTCATAGGATTGTGAAATTTAATGCCTTGCCTCTGACTCTAAATCGATCCCTTCCCTGCTGGCCTTTAATCCACCAGATGATTAGTGCCATTCTCAATCTTCGTCCCAAAGGAGTAAATTATAATAGCGGCAAAGAGGCTTAATGTCTCTTCCTGAATACCTGACAAACGGCAAAATGTTCGTCCAATCACCATAATCCAATAAATTATTTCTGATCTTCCTGCCGCACGATGGAGACCTTCATAATGGGATGGGATTAGCAAAGCAGGCGAATATATATTTGAATATGAAGTCTTTTGTAAAGGAACAATATTATATAGTTATACAAATCCTTTCTATTTTTTGTTGGGATTTCTGTAAAGATTCTTTCCAATCGTAATATATACATAATTAGAATTGTTATGGAGTATTTTTGTTCAATTTAATTTAATTTTATTTGTTAGCTACGCTTTTCTTTAATTTTGACCTAGCCTAAACAGGTATAAATGCAGCAAAAAAACCCTCCAAAATTATTCTTTTGTTTGGATCAAAAATTGAGGAAGAACCAAAACAAAATTTTTCTTTTTGATTGCTTTGGACGCACATTTATAAACTTTTTCCATTTCAAAAGTTATTTTAACATGGTATACTATCCATAATTACAATAATTTTAAAAGATTGCTTCCCGAGGTTAGGGAGACCGTACGTAAATAAAACCGAGACAGAAAAGAAAACAAAAGATTGGAATCTGTTCTTCCTCCACAACGGGGAATAAAATTTATCATTTTTGTGTGCAGGTCGTCCGCCTCCCAGGGTGTCCTGGTGGCAGGAGAACGCGCTGCTCGACGACTCCTCCGAGTCCCTCGACGAACGTCGCGTCAAGAATGTATTGCGTTTGGGAAAATTGGAACGCAGACATCTGCATACGGTCTACACGTGCCAGGCGTCTAATAACAATATTTCAGCCCCCATCTCCAGTGCTGTTTCAGTCGACCTCAACCGTGAGTACCATTTTTTCTCTCGCTTTACGTATGTGCGGAACGTGCAGCGGGTCCGCTTTGTTGTACATCAAGCCACTTGAATTTTTGCCTCTGCAAGTCTGCGAATCGAAGCGTTTTTCCATGTGAGAGGGAAATTCTCGAATATTCTTTTAGTGCATTACTTTTATTGGATTTTAAATTCCATAGTGGTTTACCTGTTTCTCACGAGAATTAAAACAAGTATAAACAGGCGATTATGATCTTAACTGCTGCTAAATAATATGCAAAATTAAATATGTAACATTTGTATTTTTTATCTAACATCAAATTTTTTGATAATCCTAAACTTATTATGTCACAATTATAAATTTTGGCCTGTATAACTTTCAGAAAATAATCCAGATTCCAGGTGCAATTTAAAAATGCTGTGGATTTCATTTTTTTTTTTTTTTTTACTGATATTCTGCTGCTGATATTATTTCATTCAAAGTTATAAATAATTCAGGTGTAAAGAATCACTTGAAGCCTTATTTTTTTTTTAATAAATTTTAACCTTATGGTCGTTGATTGAATTTAAATAATTTGATATTAGTTTAAAATTTCAACAAAAAATGTTACCCTCAAAAGTTGGTTCTCGTTAGTGGTTGACTAATTTTGTACTAAAATCAGCGCTCATTTGGTTTAATATCCATCTAAGTTAATTGTAATGGAATTTAGGTTTGCACAAAGCGGCAAGCACATTATCCAAATTACATAATTTCATCGTAAATTTGGCGAAATTTTACTCAGCCAGTTACGATTCAGCAGCGCCTTGTGCCACGGTTAATTCAATATGATAATTCGAGCTCGCATTAAGAACGAACCGGCACACAGAAACTTTTAACGCAGTGCCGAGGCAAAAGACAAATTACGCTGCGTGCAAACCCCAAGTTTTATGAATGCAGAGGAGTTCACGCGCGAAACCGCCGCAGCCTCTCTCTCTCTCACTCGGAGACATAATTTCGCAAATCTGCCCAGGCTTATTTTATCACGGAGGGAAAGTGACACTCCGCCTCCGTTTATTTAATACAGCCGGGCACAATAACGTCTCTCCAGTTTAATTAAGGTGCAGCTGTAATGTTTTTATGACAGCTCGGGGCTCATCTGGCAGGGGCCGAGCTGCAGAGTCGGTTTCTTATTCGAATTAAACTGAGAAGACAAGTGGCGAGTTGCGGTCAGGCGCCGTAAAGTTGAGCCCGGGCTGAGGTGTAACCCGATCCTCTCCTCATCACCATTCTTGTTAGTTGCTTGTGTGCTCCTGGCATTTTCGGGACCAGAGGTCAAACGCATCCACTTGACGTCATCAATCAGAAACACGCTGGTCTTACAATTAGTTGCGTTTCTCTGAAAGGGACTGCGTGTGAACACAAAGATGTAAATCGCTCAATTTATAAAGTGGTTTTATGTAATTTACATTTTCTTGTCTCTCTTATTAATTTACATCAATGACAAATTAATTTAAAAAAATTTGTTCTTTAATGTTTTACTTTTTCCTACCCTTCGATTTTTTTATTTAACATTTTTGTGTCATTTTAAATCCGGTGCAAAATTTATTGATTTTTTTTTTTTTTTTTGTAATCTTTCTTGATATTATTTACAACACTCTCAATAATGGTTGAATAAATTGCGATAAAAATTGGGCTTATTTCTAGATCCTTGAAATGATTAAAATTTATTTTTACTTACAACTCATCGAAAGGCTCAGTTCAATATTTATTTTAGTGCATTGTTTATCTTTAAACCTAATATTCCAAATTGATACTTATGTTAATGTAATTTTAGTGGAAAATTTCCCATGTAATGCGTTTAGCCTGGATCAATTCAGCGGTTTTGCTGTCCGTTTGTTTGCATTCAAAATTACACCAAAACGCTGCGAGCCCAAAGTAATTGCTTTCGAATAATGAGCAAGCGATTCTCATTACACCAAATGTCACCAAAGCTCTACTGATCGCTGCACGGTTTGCTTGTTTATTGCGTGCGTTGAATTTCACCAAAATAACACATAAACGCCCTGCAAATTGGGCAACTCCATTATTTATCCAGCTTGATATTATAGTCCGGGACGATTGCAAAGAGAACCAATGAAAATAAGTCGGGCAATGAGGTTTCCAGAAATGAAATTAATCGACCCAGGCAATGGCGTAAATTTTTTAATCCGGGTGGCAAATATGCGTGTCCAACCAACGCACTCATCTCGCTTTTTATTCCCAGCATTAACAATAAATACTGAACCACTCTCACATTAGGTGAGCTTTTTGCGGCGATTAAACGGAATTGGCGATGCCTCGTTGGGCGAAACTCGTCACAACTTGTACACGGCTTGTTTGTCGCCGCCAATAAACAACAGTTTAATTATGGAATTTTCATTAGTCTGCATTAGACTTTTCCCCAGTACGATCAAAACTCTGCCAACGACTGCCGCTTTTTGTCTCGTTGACCGCGCTTGGACGACCGCACAGCTTTTAGATTAATATCGATCTGCGGACCCGAATCTTAAATTGACCGCGGCTACATAGAATTTGAATCTCTCTCTTGCAAGGCTTTTGTACGCGGCTCTGCCGAAAAACTTGGCTGGTCGCTCTCTCTCGCTCAAAGAAGAATCAATATTGGCCGAGCTTTATTAATGAGGGACCCAATATCATGTCCGTTGGTTAGTGACAACCATTTACAGACGAGAGCTCGCCGCCGAAACTTTATTCCCCGAGGAGAGAAAGGAAGGAAGGAAGGGAGGAGGCTCTATGACATGACCAGGCAAACTGCTCTCGGCTCACTCCGATGAGGCGAATTCGAATCTTTTTGAAAGGAACTTCGCCTAGAGAATTATATTTAATGGGTCGTTGATTTGGTGAGACTTGAGTAGAATAAACAATAATCTTATTAACAATTAATAGATCTTTAAATTATTTCAATGAAAATGGGAGGAAAATTTGTTACATATTTTTAGCATAGAGTAATAAATAATTTTTACATCATAGAAAGTTATCATATTACAACTAATTAATTTAAAATATCATTACCAAAATAAAATAAAAAAATTTCCAACCCCGCCTTTAACATCAAATTTTGGGAATATTTAAAAAAAAAATACTTTTTACCACATCAAAATTGGAGTTAATGTTTGGAAATTTTAGCCAACGTCGGCTATAAAGAATAAAATTCATATATATTTCAAATTCTAATTTAAAACATTTTTTAAAGATATACATGAACTATGATATCTAGTTTCCAATTATTCTATTCTTAATCAACACCGTACTGAAATAAAAATGTTCAATTTCCCTTTCTTTCAAAAAAGAGTTTTTTGAAGTTTAAAAATAATTGTTAAAAATGATCTAAAATTTTTTTCAAGCTTTCAATTAACTGTGTCTCATGTCTCATAGGAATTTAATTTGGCGCAAAAAAAAATCAAATTGAGCCAACAAATATTTCTATTCTCTTTTTCTGTACTTTTTGTTTTTTTATTTTTTCATGTGAAGGAATGAAGCATGTGCTGGACTTTTGCAGTTGCCGGCGTCCCAGGAATTTGGGCGTGATTGCCGGTGCTGCGCCGGGGTGCCGCCGGAGAGCAATAAAAAGGGGTAATTTATCGAGTCACTGGCTCTTTCTGTGGGCCAGTCTCTTGCAGACCGGCGTGCTTTTGTTGTGCGCGCCAAATGAATTTATGAACACGGCCGCTTCTAAATCTACCTGCGCGCTGTTATGTAATAATATCTGGGTGGCGCGAGCGAGGGTCAAGTGGCATCCCTCCTTTTCCTCGCCTACCCTCGTCCACGTGCCCTGACAGCCCTTGACGCGCCGGCCAGGCTAACACTTCATGGCTAAAAAAAGCGAGAGGAGGCGAATGAATGCATGAGCACCGGCCGACAAGCAGCGGGAGGGGCCGTGCCTTGAAAAGCTGTCGTTGCGTCTTGATGCCAGCCTGTAATTATCATAAGCATCATCCTCAGTTGGAATTTATGTCAAGGATCAGCGGCATAATAATTTGCTCGCAATAATATAAAATGTATATAAATTAAAATACTGCCTGAAATATGGGACAAACTAAATGAAAAAAAATGTGTCCGGAGAAAGTACTCCAGCTCAACTTCAATAAATCAAGTCAAAATTAAAGGTCAAATTTTTTGTTTAGTTAAAGGCATAGTGTAAAATGTAAAATTGATGAATTATCCACAACAATTTATAAACGTTCTGTGACTTATTTTAAAAAATCGAAATCCAAAATTGTGACTCCCAAGTCAAGTTTTATAAATTTTTTCTATTGATTTGAATCATTCACATAGCAAACCTGATATCAAATCCCATTTATTCCTCTTAAGTTACAAATTACAAAAATTTTCACCATCAATGATTACAGCAGAAGAAATGGTTTAAAAAATTAATTTGTATAGATTAAAATTTCGTATGTCGTACAGTTTATGAACAGAAGCACGCGAGTATTTTATTCCCCAAGTTTATACAAGGTGAGCCAAAGTTAAGTACACTTTAGGCCACTTACGCTCAAAATGAAGCCCCACACTTTCAAATTGATCAAAGGCTGCTCGTCCGCAATAATCTCCTTGATCAAAGCGTTAAGCAAGCTTTGAAGAATCAGCGCCCCAATCCCTCAAAATCCACCCTTTTAATTACTCACGCATTCCCCTACTTAAAATCATCGTTTCCCTCTTGGCGACAGCAAACAAAACTATAATAAAAAGAAATGCAAATGCTGGAGCGGTTGCGCTGCTTTTGGTGCTTAATTGCGGAAAGCGTATACGTGCATTCGCCGAAAGTCGCGCCTGCCTGCCATCAACACCAGTGATTAAAAATAATGAGAGTGGATTATGATGGCATTGCGGCAGACCCCCATATCATTATTACAGCCGCCGCCGTGCTAAATTACAGAGGCTTGAAGTATCACCCCTTGACGTGACCTCTGCGTCATGGGGCCGTGCGAGGGGCTAATTAAAATTCCCTCCAGAATGAGAAGCGCACGCCGCCTTTGT